TATATATTTTCTATATAAATTATATAAATTTCATTTCGTTCGGGGGGGGGGGGGGGGTTTGCCCCCCCGAAGAGATGCCTGGAAGAAACTCAGATCCTGCGCTTAATTGGTTTAAACTAAATGGAAAAACAGACTTTCTCATTTAAATAAGCTATTTTAGGTGTCATCCTTTTTTTGGATGGTGTCACTCCCAGGCCTTGTGATATTATGATATTACTATAGTATAGATAGGCCTATGTATATTTTACACATTACATAAATAGATCTAATAGTCAGAGTTTATTCCAGGCATCTCTTCGGGGGGGGGGGCTCTGCCCCCCCCCCCCCCGGAGAAAGTCTACCGCCCCCCCCCCCCCCCCCGAACGAAATGGAATCTATATATATATAGTAAAAAATACACTTTTACTAGCATCCCCCAAAAATATCAAGTGCCCCCCCCCCCCGGAGAAAAAAAGTCTGGAAGAAACACTGCTATACTTACACCATCGAATAGGAATCGTATGTACTACTATGTACAGACTTAGTTCGCGATGTTCTGTATGGAAGAAGTTTTAAAGCCCTAATTTTGTATTTCTTATAAATATACGTGAAGAAAAAAAAGGTTTTTTAAAATTAAAATCACTATTGTTTTACTGTCAGCATGTGACTTGGAAATTTGTTACGTCCATATAAGTCTGAGCCCAACATTTTGTGAGGATAATTTTTAAAGGGCGTGGTCGTGGGAGTCTGTAAAACCCGTTGGATTAGCGTGACGTCATTATCTCCCTCCCTCATTTTAGCCTAAATAAAAATATTATTTAGCTTTTTACAATTAATTTGGCTGTGATGAATACTGATGGTGTTTAATGTCATTCTGCAGACAGTAAAAACAATATGTATAAAGTTAATAAGCAGACCGCATTTTGAATCACTCTTATATTAGTGAAGTATAAAAACGCAGACTCATCAGGCTGCAGAGGATCTAGAATCTAGATCTATTTTAATATAAATAAAATGATTCAGCAGTTTTTCAGTACAGGTACAACACCAATTTAATGTTTGTAAATGCTTAATAACCAGCAGCAGCTTAATATTTAATACAGACTTGGAACATCATCTATAAGACTGATTTTTATTTTAAACAGTAATTATAATCTTAAAGCTATTAAATGAAATTTATTATTCACTTGAAGTTAAAGGTTAACTGATAAATTCAAATAAAATTTGGCTTCCTTTCATTCATTAACCTGGTCACACAGGTGAACGACCCTGACAATCACAGAATCAGCTGTGATGTCAGAAATACTTTCCAAACTCTAATTTTAAGTACCCAAGCTCTCTGAAAGGTAAATAAATGTATTTGCTTTGTTTATTGAAATAGTAATTTATAGTTAATGAATTAAGATTAGTAATTAATGGTGATTTATTTCACTAATGAATCTTGGATAATTCTCGATCAATCGCTCGGTAGCAAAGTTTGAGTCAGAGTGGTTGAGCTCAGGCTCAACAGTCAATTTGTGACTAATGACTAATTTGAGTTTGAGGAAGAAATATTTTTAAAAACGTTAGGCCTAATTTTAACTTTATTTATCGGGTGAAAGAAAAATTTCAGTTGATTACTATGAGGCCTATTAAATTATTAATTAAATAATTAAGGCTGGGCATATGGGCATAGGATAGCCATCATACTACTAATCGTCTAATACTATCATAAAGTATCATACGCCTGGCCTATGTTAAAAACTAATAGGCCTAAAATTATAGATTAATATTATAAGTAGATGTAGATCTAGATTAGGCCTAGTTACTAGTGAGTAGGCCAACTAAAAAACTAGATCTATGATTGTTAATTTAATTTTGTTATGTTACATCTAGTCTAGTAGTAGTAGGCTATTTTAATTTTTATACACTGACTATCTTTTCCTCTTACTCCTACGACCTACATCTACATGGGCCGGTACATACATTAAATAATAGGCTAATTAAATATAATAGGCTGCTAGGCCTAGGCCTAATAAATATTAATTATTAGTGCCTAAATACTAAATAGTTGGCCTATGATACTAGTTCTAATAGGCCCCTAATGATTTAAAATTTAAGGATCATCCATTTAATTTAGGGCCTATGGAATTCATGAACACCAAACAATTTTTACTTAGGCCTAATTAAGACTATATTAGACCCCTATAGTCCAAACCTGTCTACACATGTCCACTAGACTATGTATTTTAAGTAAAGTTTCCCTTTCAAACCTGACGGTCTATGGGGCAAGTGAAGTAGAGTTCACTTGTTTCCGTGACCTTGGCATATGAAGTGGTCAGCACTATGGCCTTTACTTTCCCTAACATGAGTTAGGTACCCATCGGTGTTGGGTGGACTCAGGTACGGCCTACTGACTAGAACCTGGATTCGAAGTCGAGACTTACGGGTTAGCAGTCCAGCTCTCTACCGCTAGACCACTCCGTCCCATATGTATTTTAAGACTAACATTAATTTTAAGCAAGCTTGTTTTTGTTATGATTACTAATGTTCATTTTATTTTTCTTATGTTTATATTAGGCCTACCTATAAAAAAGAAATCAATTAGGCGTAATTCTAAAGCTGTCATTGTAAAATATGTGGCCCATCCTATACTATACCAATAGGTATTTAAACAATAATTAGGCAGAATTTTTTTTTACTCCACTCAGTACTACGATAGCAAAACAATAATGAATATTGCTTGTTTAGGGGGCCTATATTATTTATTTTTTATTTTTAACTCAATGCAATAAGCCCGCTAGTTGGTCTGGGGCTAGTTCTGCCAGATATTCAAATGGTTGAATCTAAATATTATCCAGCCATAATTTCTTCTCTGGAGTTATTTAAATTTATAATTTAAAAAATTAGACCCATTCTTTATATGCCTTATTTAAAATTGTGAGTTGTCTTTTGAACAATGATGTTTAATTACATTTTTGAATAAATTATCTTTGAATATTAAAATAAATAATAAAGCAGTGAAAGAATGTAAAGAGTATTGCAAATTAATGTTTGGTCTAATTTAGATTAAATTTTTATACCAATTAAAATTAGGGCCTACTATCCTGTGCTTTTTACATTTAAAATTTATTAAGCCAGAAGCTAGTAGCACAATTCAATTATTAATAATGAATAAGATATTTAACATATAAACCAGTATCAATAATATTTTAAAAATCTAACCTATAGGCCTAATGCAAGCATTTTTTAATAAAATTTTTTTAGTGTAAGTAGGTAGAGTTGATTAAGACTAAATGGAAAGAAGCAGATTATTATCAAATAAAGAATATGTCTATTTCATACACAATAGATCAAGCTCATTTATACTTATACGTTTTTGCATTATTACAAAGTATAAAGCTTAAGTTAGGTTGTCTAAACATATATTAAGAAAAAACAGTGTAAAATAATTTCTAGGACTTTTAAAAAAATTGAAATATATACCCAATTATAGCCTATCCCAAATTGATTTAATAATAAACTTAATAAGTACTTAGGTACACTTAAAGTGACACTATTAATAGAACTACTTGAAAGTAAAATAGGCTCCACTTAATCAAAGTCAGAGTGGTACAAGAGTGCACTTTCTTTGTCTAGGGTGTAGGCATGTAAGAACATTAAATTCTCACTCCTTTGATACACCACCTATTGAAGTATTGCTTATTTATGTTGTAATAGTTATTTATTTAATTTAGTCTATTGGTACACAATATTTAGTTTAACTCAATTCATTTTATGTTGTATGGGTTATATTCTGTCTTTTGTTTCAAAAAATGCATGCTGTTATTATATTCCAAAGCTTGTCTGTGAAGATGAAATGTTAAACTTTCTCTAGCTGATTGTTAATGTATATTACCTAAAGTAGTTATCAATAATGCATTTAACACCCACTTAAGTCACCCCCAACTGTAAAGACATTATAAAGGTTTTTTTTTTTGCATAAGCCATGTTGGTTTTTATGTGTCCGATATTTAAACTCCTATTTTTAAAGTTTGTAAATCTTCAGTTTACACAGTTAGTTCATAGAAATAATAATTTTATGATGGTAATTTACCCTTTTGCTGCTGTTCATACTTATGTCACAACACTTGGGCCCTTTATGAATCTGACCTCTTTTCACTAATTTATCACAATTACCTCCTTTTATCTTCTTCATAATTGTTTAAATATTTAATTTACAAAAAGTGATAGCTAATCTTATTAATTAAAGCAATTCGTTATGAAAGATTGTTTGTTTGCTAATATCAAAACATAGTTTTTGGAAAAGTCTATGGGGATGTATAATCCATTTAGTGGAATGGTCATCATACATTTGTAATTTATTTTTAATTCAACTTTTCTTTAGGCACTAACCTGTATGTCTCAGCTTTTCTTTTTTATTGCTACAAATGTTTATTTTGTCACCTATAGCATGACTAAACCTAAATAAATATGTAGGACCTATTTGTATGTGTATATATATATATATATATATATATATATATATATATATATATATATATATATATATATATATATATATATATATATATATATATATATATATATATATTTGATTATGATTCTTCTGAGCCAACTGGGGTTATTAAAAATAAACCATTGTGTTACCTGTCAGCTGTATTCATAAAAATGTTGCCATAGTTTTTATCTGCACCACTTTTTTGTGCCAAGACCTAATTGGGTCTCAGCCAAGGTGTTTATTACCAACTTCTACACAAAGCTTACTTTTCAGTTTTGAAAACTAGTATAAATGTTTATTTTATGGATTATCGATTATGGTCAGCAAATTTCTTTTGGTTGGGATGTATTGTAAGAAAAGAATTTTGAAGTAGCCTACATTTGATACATTGTTTTTTTTTAAATTTTCATTTAGTAAATTTTTATTTTTTATATCTCAGATGTAACCTACCTTGACATTAAAATATTTTATTGTATATTGTGTTGATATATTATTTTGAAATGGATGATTGTGACCATTGTTCCAGCCCACTCCACATAGTATTTTTGTAAAATACATAACCTTCTACAAGTAACTATGACCCCAAAATATATGCTGCACACACTTCTGTTCCTAAGATGGCATGTTGATTTGCCTGCTGTCTTTTCCTTTTAAATATTTTTATAGCTCATTGTTTAAACACAAAGCAACCAAATGACCTACCTTATCGGTGTACTTAAAAGCAGTGTACTTGTAAAGTAAATAATTCAAGTCAAGAAAGTATATGAGAGTAAGATCTTTAAAACAAATTTATTAATTAAAGTTAAGTCTGTTGGCTTAGTTACAGTTATAAATATCTTCCCAGGCCAATCGGTGGCATTGGGGTGTTTACTGGTCACATTATCACAGTGGTGGGTAGACATATCAAATGAATAAGCAACACAAGTATTTTACTTTGAATTGCATCTTAAAATAAAAATAAAATGATTAAATCAGATATCCCCTTTTCCCCCCCACAAATGTACTTGTAACTTCAAATATCATCATAACACCTTTTATGTGGACAGTTCAACAGGGATGACATTTTTTTTTGTTGAAAAGCTTCTTTTGCATGATTTTAAAACATTTATGTGAAATTTAATAAAATCAGATTAAAAATCTTCTTTTCCAAAAATTATTTTAATCTTTGGAATAAAAATGCTTGATCTAACTCTAACCAAGCATGCTGGAAATATATTTTTCTGAGACGACAGAAGCCTTGATGAACATCAGGGTAATCTCGTCATTCTTACTTTTATATATTTCCTCAGGTTCCGGACCCCAAAGAACTGTCCATCCATCATACCCTCTCCTTCTACCATTCAACATTTAGTCAGGTCAACATATTAAGCAAATTATAATTTTTAACCCCAACAAAGGAGTTTAACTGAATGCCTCTCCACTTAAAAAAAAATCTGATAAATGAGTCCCAGCTTCTTCTATAGAAAGGTGTAATTAAAAACTAATAAAATAAAATGAATGGAGCACTGAAATTGAACACTTTCAAGTATTTTTCTTATGGCAGCAATTTGCTAAGAGAGAGAATCCTAATCAATAACCCAACAGCTGAAGTGTATGGCACTGGCAGGCTGCATGTAAGTAATGTGCATCTAATATTTCATAAAAGCTTACATTTTTATAGCTAGTACAATTTTAAAAAAAGTTTGGTGTCATATTTAAATATATGCATTGCCAAAAATTTAATTGAAATTATTTTTTAACTGCAGGGCTACCACTTAATGTTTGACACACCATTTGGTTGTGGAAAGAGTAGATGGTATGGAGCGGCAGCCACTGTCCGTCCTAAACACGATAGTTATGTTTATGGTGTTATTTGGGACCTTGACCAAGAAGACATGGAGAAACTTGACAGGTAATACATGGTGGTTTATTTAACAGTTGAAAAGATGTAACTTCTCTTGTTGATCCTTCTAAAAATTGTAGCATCATGAAAACATTGCAATAATTTTTTTTGAATGTTTTTCTTATTACAGCCAAGAAGCCTATTATAACCCCATTGAAGTGCTAGTAGAAGGAGATGATGGAGAACTGGTCTCATGTAGGACATATGAGATGCAACAGAATACTACTGGATATGGCCTACCAAGCCCACATTACAAGAAGGTATTAATTGAAGGAGCCAAGCAAAATGGATTGCCAGATGAATACATTACTTATTTGGAAAGTTTCCCCGACAACGGTGTCACTGATACCCCACCCAATTACCGTAAAGTGATGGATATGCTTGAATCCATACGTGCTGAAGACTGCAACAGTGAATTGGACAAGTTTAAGAAAAATAGCTCATGATCATATGCTAAAAGAAACGAATACATTTATTCAAGAGTAAAAACAAAATCCATCTCCTTTTCTAACCATATTGATTACCTCTTTAATAATATATTCTGCATATTATAGAATTCAGCATCTGTTTTAAATACATCATATTCCAAAATTTCCTTTCAAGTAAAACAGTGTAAATGTGTTAAAATGAATTTTGTGTAAATTATTTAGAGTTAGATTTACAGTACATTATCACATACATTGAAAGAATTTTTTAAACTATTGAATTTAGTTCTCATTCATATCTGTGCAATTTTGTTATTTAGTGTAAGGTCAAAAAAATCTTTCATAAATCTAACATAAATTCTACATTAAAGGAAAAAAGTGATATGGATTAATGTAGGCAAATATTATAATTTGTTTTAAATTTTGATAAATAAATCCATGTATAAAGCTACCTTATCATTTTTGTTAAGATGTGTTAAATAGTGCATTGTTTGCTCTTTACTTCTATATAGTATTCCTGATGTACTAAGTCACTAGAATTATAAAAATACCGGTGCAGATGTAATATGTTATACAATTTTTGCAGCTTATTTAAAAACACTTTATGACTGACTTTGAACACAAACCCTTGTTAAATTATGGTATTTTAGTGACAATTATTTGTAACACCTATACTACAGTATTTTTTTAAATATCATTGCATATTTTACCTGTATATCTTTTATTTATGCATTGGTAATTAGTGGTTGTCTTAAAACTGAGATAATTTTAGTAGGCCTACCTGTAAGTTTTATATTTAAAGCAAATTTTAGGTTTATAATACCCTGTTTATTTAGTCTGTGATCTGTAAACATGCACCATTTTCCCACATGCACATTCTCTATTTTCTCACTTTTATTTTCTTATACTATTCAGCTTTCAATTTTTAAGGGATACATGCAACATCTCCACATTTGATTGAATTCCTGAAGACATCGGGCTATTTCCCCCCTCCCCCCCCCCTTTAAAACAACTAATCTCAATTTCTATAAAACCTTGGAATAATTACTCAGAAATTGTTTAAAGTATTTATAATTTTGTTTGCAAGTACTTTAAAATGGTTTTTATCTGTGCCTTCATAAAGTTTAATAGAACAGTAATGTTTTATAATCTTTTGCTAATGGAAAGTGAATCCCTTCAACCTTTCAGCTAAGTTGGTTTTTTTAGTGTTAAGCATCTCATTAGTTATTTTTATTAGTTATTATTGCACAATTCTTAGGAATTTAAACAACTGTCAAACTAATTTATTGCAGTATATTTATATTTGTTTAAAACACATTATCCTAAGCAATTAAATTATTGCAATCATTAAGAACATATCTAGCAAGAATACTCCTTGTGTTTCACATACCACTGATGTAGTTGTCACATTTAGATTAAAAGCATTTAATTATTATTAGAAGTATTTCCACAGTTAATTTTTATTTAAAGCTCTACATTTATCTCTAATCTGCTAACTGCTGATAACATTTTATTCTTTAATATTGGTTGTAATACTTAAAATTGAAATTTTTTTTTTTGAAAAAAATGTATATTTTAATTATAAAATTGACTTTGACACCTTGAAAAGTTTCAAAATTTATTTATCGAAAACTTATTTTATAACATTTTATTTAAACTTTTTGAAGAATTGAGGCCAACAGAACATTTTAAAAGTACAATAAAAATTCAAAGATTTTAAACTTTGCTTGAGATATAAATATTTATATATTTCATTTTTTTCTTATGGCTTTTTACATTTAATTATATATTGTAGAGCTCACATTGAGTTCAGAGAATTTATAATTTTATTTACACCAACTTAAAGTAACATAGTAATGACAACATGTTGTCATGTTACTTTCAGTTTTCTTGATGTGTAAAAGTGTTCATGATATTACTATTTTATAATTTAAAGAGTTGCATTTAGATCATACTGTATTTTCTGAAGTAGAACTGGCAAAACATGCAAAAAGCTATACTTTTAGATTTTCAATTAGATATATCAAATATACTGTTAGAATCTGAAACATTAAACATTAAAGTGTGACTTGTATAGTTAATAAACTTCACCATGTCCTTGGACAATTTATTAGCACATATCAAGCTTCTAAGTTTTTACTTGATAACATGTTCTGTGATATTAAATTTTCTATTTTGAAAGTTTGAATATTTTTATAGTAAATAAAACAGACTGTAAATGAATTAAACAAGTTGAAAAGAACATCCTTTCAGCACTACAAATTTATATGAAAAACCTTACAGCATGACTAAAATGTAGAATTACAGAAAAAAATCCATGTAGTCTGCAGAGTAAAGTGAGATATACTAGTGTTAGAATGGCAGCAAAAAAACAAACAAACAAAAGGCTAGTATCAATACAGGTTCACACTATTCCACAGTTGAAGACCACAGGGGATAAACCTCAGTTGTCACAGTTTACTACTTTGCAGAAAAATGAGATTTTGTGTTTGAGATCCTTTGCTGTTCCATTATTGCATGATTTAAAAATCCTAAACATTGAGGTGGTTTTACACGTTTATATTGTTATATATGATAGATGTCCATCAGTTCCACATGAATATGACACTAACTAAAAAATTTCAAATAGTGGACGTCTGTGTTTTATCCCATGTGGTCTTCAGTTTCATACAAGAATTCAGCATATTGTTTAATGAGAGGCTAAAAGTTAAATCTGGGTAAAATTGTTGATGAAAGAAAAGAAAATTACAATGACTAAATATTTTTAAAAAAATTGTGTTACTCAGATGCTTGATAATGATACACTTGTAAAATTATATGTAATGAACAAAGCATTTCTTAAACTAAATGGTAGGTGAAATTAAACCACATTGAAAAAACTAATACATGTCGTTTTCCTTATTTTTATTAAAATCAAAATCAATCCAGGAAAAAGATCAACCCATAGGTTACAAAAATATTTTAAAACTTTGTATTCTTTCACCAATTTTAATTTTGAACTGTATCTTCTTTTTGTTTTTATCTTAACATTTAGATATTGTTTTACTTGGTACCTTGTAAATATTTCTTTACTAAATTCAATTGGAATTGAAGTATAACATGTGTAATAGTGTACTTTAAACCCTGTACCTCAAGCTGACCATGTAGAATTTTCAATGAGTGCTGTATATTCTACTCTATATACATATATATTTATGATACAGGCTTAAAAATAAAATTTGCTAAACCAAAGTTTTATTTTCAAATTCTTTCTTTAATTTACTTGATTCTAAACTCATAACATGTGATGACTTGCATGCTAACCTTAATTTTAAAAATTTTTCTTCATAGCTAAGTACCACCATTCACAAAGCCAAAGACTTGATGCAGTTTCTTGCTGACTTATGCTCGTTCAAAACCCTGGATGATAAACTTGAAAATTTCTGGGTTCAGCTTATTTTTATTCTTCCTTTGAAACATTTTGGAACCGCAATTCACTGAAAATGAATGGTGATATACACTACAGCACTTTTTTATACTTCTCCTATGGCAGCAACTTAATGAAGGAAAGAATTCATATAAATAATCCTACAGCAGAGATTTATGGAGTTGGGAAGCTGACTGTAAGTTTTTAAACTTATTCAGTTATTTTGCAATAGGATGAGTCTAGTGAATGTAGCATTATTCAACCTATGTAGTAGTAGTGATGTAATACTTACTTGACAGCCAATGTCTCATGAATACAGACATCTGTCCCAAGTATACATATGCTTGGTCATTTTTGTTACATTATTGGTGAAATTAATGTTAAAATATTATAATAAACAATAACTCCAAGCGCTTGACAACAAAGAGCACATTGATTTAAATCATTTATTAATAGTTACTTTTTGCATTACAAACAAGTTTATCTTACTCATATTTCCCCTTTAAAATTTTTTTACTATTAGATACACTTTTTATATACATATCTTTTTAGTCAAATGTATGAAAAAAGCCTTATCATTAATGATGCATTTTAAAATTGAATCAAACCTTGATCACCCTTAGAGTGTAAAGCTATGCATAAGTTAATGTCTGAAGCTTGAAATACACAATTGTCAATGACAATGTCGGAAGAATGTAAATTTTTTGTTAATTGGTCAGTAAATTCATGAACTGGCTGGGATACCCTTGTAGGTTACCATCTTGATTAATCTGGTTTTGGTTTAATTGTGAGTAATGTATTGCGCAGCTCATGATAAAATGTTTTTGACATTAACCCTCTGTAAGCTACCCCCTTATTGAAAATACCTATGTAAGTTTTACTATGTAAAACTATGCTAATGAGAAAGAGGGGTGTTTGTTTTATATGTGTTTGGTGTAATGAGCTGACAAACCAAGAGGCAGACGGACCACAAGGCTGCCAAAGAAAATAACCACACCCTTGTTAGTTTCCAAATATCACAAAATATTGGTTACTACTTTATTTGATAAACCTCTCTATAATGATGAGGTGAGACAATCATTAAAAAAAAAATCAAATGCTGTCTGTGTAATCATCTATGTGCAACAAGACAAAATGTTCAATAGACAATGTAGGGGTGGATGATATCCTTATAAGGTGAACAATAGGGTTGAAACGGCTGCAGATGTTGGAAATTGGAACCATCTTTCAGTAACAAAGAATACCAAATGAATAAGACTGCTCAACACCTTGACCAGACTTCGTGATAGTTATTTAAATTGATTAGGTTGATTGTGATGTCAAAAAATTTTGTAGTTTCAGATCTTGATGATTATTAAACATACAGTTTGCTTTGACCATATCATACTGTCTGAAATGAAATAAGTTTTAACATTTAATTCTCATGGTAAGATTTAGGGACATTATAGTTTCAAGACTAAAAATTGTTGAAATTATAACACAACATTGATTAAAATTTTAGTACAAATAAAATAATTTTGCTTGTCACTTACTTAAGTTAATACAGACCGAATTTCATGATCATAATGATATGCTATCACTTAAAATCTGCTGATACTCTTCTAATTCGGACATTGATCTGTTGCCCTTGGCCAGTTAATGAACTGGCCAGCCAACCAATTTCTGAAATGTGCATTGGCCAACTTCGGGCTTTGGCTGTAACATATACATATAGAATCAGATTGACCTCAATTAATTGTAAGAGACTAATTATAAAATAGTACATCAATGTTATGTGTATTGTTCTTCTTTTTTCTTAGAAGTTTGGGAACCCAGTACATCATTAGATTATTGATATATACTACAAAATAAAAAAAAAAAACAACAGCAGACTGCCCTGTGATTACCTGCGTGTAAAACAAATTGGCTAAATTATAATAAGTAGTAAACAGCTAAAATCAATTTTAGGATTGAAATTGACCTACATTGCACCTATAGATTGCCTATTTGTAGTACTTACGATCATCATTTGATGTACTAATAGTCTATTTGTAAGACAGTACATTGTTCTATGATGTATCAATAATATCTATTTGTAATATTTGTAGGGCTGGAAATTGACCTATGATGTACCAATAGATTATGAACCAAGTCTGTGGTATGGGGCATCTGCCACTATCCGTCCAGGAGGACCAGATGACTATGTTTATGGTGTTGTTTGGAAAATCAAATCTGAAGATATGGCATATTTAGACAGGTTGGTTTCAGTTTTAAATTTACAAAACTCTCAATACATGTTCATCATATTCATGATAATATACTAATTAAAAAGAATAATAAAACTAGACAAAAGTATTGTTTAAATACACTTTAAAGATTAACATTTATAAATATTATAAATTGGCTGTTTAATTTTTATAAAAATCTTTAGCATGGGATTAATAAAGCAGTAACACATGTTTTACCTCTAAACAGTCAAGAAACATATTATCAGCCTATTGATGTTCTAATTGAAATGGAAAATGGAGAACTAGTCAAGTGCCGAAGTTATGAGATGCACAAAAATACTTCTGGTAACCACTTGCCAAGTCCTCACTACAAAGAGATCATTGTTAGAGGTGCCAAACAAAACAAACTACCAGAAGACTACATCCGCTACCTCAAGAGTTTCCCAGACAATGGGCTATCCTCTCCACCACCAAACTATCTGAAAGTGATGGATGTGGTCCAGAAATTGGCCAATGCTGCCAAGAAAAACAGTGAAAGTTAACCCTTGTCTTGTTTTAAAATAGAACCCCTGATTTATTGAGTGCTAAGTTTTATTTTTATTTATATTGTATTCCTCAAAAATTATAATGTTAATATAGGCATCTAACTGTTCTGTTTCACTAATCAGTGCCTCATGTCTAACAGAATTTTTTTTTCTTATTATTATTTTTTTTAGATGTTACTGGAATTTTTTCTTTCTTTTTTTGCTTTTATTTTAAATAGGAGAATTCAATGAGTTATTTATAAGGTTTTATGTATCTATATGAGAACCCTTTTTGCTTTCAGGATATCATCTATTTCTTAAAATTATGTTTATATTATAATAAAAAGCACCATGAATATAAAAAATATAGTTATGGAAAAATATCTAAATTAAAGTTTAGATCATTTTATTTTTGTGCGTGCTTCAACTTTTTATAGAGATTTTAGATTTTTAAGGCAGTTATGGATATTGTATATTTTTTAACCTCTATAAAAATATAATTTTTGTTTTTGTCACATTGAACTCAATCTATTAAAAACAATTTATATTATATAAAACCTTTCAATGAATCTTCTATTTTTCTTCTGATTATAAATTTTTAGATAAGTTCAGGGTATTTTATTTGTTACATTTCAGCTAATACACATTGCTTACTTGTTTGTATTTATATTTTTCAGATAACTATATTTATTACCATAGTTAGTTAGAATCTGTTTTATTCCCTCAAAGACTTTTGAATAACATCATTTTTATGCACATAATTTTTTATATTTATCCTTATGTTTTTAGAATTAATTTAAAAAAATCCTAGATGACTGGTTTAAAAGTAAATTTTTACATATGAAATCACCTATTTTTTAACATTAGAATGCTTTGTTAACATACTGTTCCTAGAGTTACTGGTATTTTAGTTAATTCAGTTTTTAATTGTCTTAATGGCTCACATTTTAAACTATCAAAATGTGGTTTTTAACTGTAGAATACCTACATGTGTATTTTTTATGCACAAAGCCATATACATTTTTTTGCTATGTGGTTTATATTGTATAGTTACATTATTTTAAAAAAGTTTTGTAAATATGTAGGTCTACTGAAAATCAAATAGTTTTTACAATTTTTTTCTTTTTGTATAATTCACTTGGTATAACTGGTTGGATTTTATAATGGCTATTCAGTTTTATCATAGGTTTGGGTGTTAACTCATTGATTAAAGTATTGATTTGGTGTAATTAAATTAAGTTTTTAAAGTGTCATTTATTTCATCAGTGATTAACATCTTTTATTTTGTTACATTTTTTTTCTCTTGACTAGTTGAATAGTTATGCAAAGTATTTCAGTATAGAATCTTTGCCTTCCTGAGCACCAGTCTTGTTTGCTGTTGTACTTTCTAACTGTACATAATTACTGGCTGTTATATAGGTTTTTATAAAAATAGTTTTAAATCATTAAAAGGTTTTATGTTAAACATTTGTGTGAGAAATCAAACCGTTTTATGGGTGACAATTATTCCATAATAATTTTCATTTTCAAATATAGTGTGAAAATTGTGTTAGTTTATATTTTGTAATCAAATATACTCAAACCATGTATGAAAGTGTCTCAAATTTAATTATAGTTAATTTATTTGAATATTTTTAATTTTTTTTTTAAATGTTGCAATGTCAAAACATGTGAACAATTTTTTGAAGATACTGTTACAGTCTGTCTATATGTAGAAACTAGATGGACTCTATTTAGATCCTTAAATATTTCCATAGTAAATGTTGAAACATTTGCTGTATCTCATGTTCTGTTCTTAACTATATACATTAGAGAATAATAATTTTGTAATACATCTATAATAATAGTCTTTAATTAAGGTAAGAAATTGCCCCTTGTAAAAAGTTTTCAGATTGTTAAAAATTTGAAAATGTTGGCCATTAAAATTTTGACGTTATTTTTTCCAGTTCCATTAAACTTGCATTTTGTAAAATGCAATTTTTTAATGTTTAGCCCTTAGACCAGTAGTTTTTTTGAACTTCACAGTTGTCTCAATGAATATTTTGAACATTCTATTCATATTAGGTAAAAGCATTAAAAAGCATTTTCTGCTGACATTCTTTGTCAACATTTAGCAATAAAAGAAATTATCTTCCAAATTTGGCCCCTGAACAAGAGCTATGTTTTTATTGTACAGGGATTACTGCCATTCATGAAACATCCATTGTTGTGATTGTGAGCAATGTTTTAGCCTTTCTTGCTCAATTTTTTATAACAAACCTCTGTGTTGTAATGTCTCTACTACCTCCAATTTCAGCTATCTTGAAACCACACTTTCTTCCATTGGTGTATTCATGTGTAAACTCCTCCACCTTATTCCCCAAGTTGATAGATTTCAATATCACAGCATTATGATAATACTTTATCTGGGCATCTTACAATTTAAATATTTTAACAGATTAAAAAAATGAGTGTATTTTCATTCATTTATTTAGTCTTCTTACCCTTCTACATAAAATTCTGTTGAAAAAGTGCCTAACAGTATCTGTTAGCTTCATTTATGAGAGTATTAAGGACCTTGCTCTGTCAGCCCATTTAAACTTATCAACAAGAAGAGTTCACACTAAACATGCTAGATTCTGTTTAATGTTCGTGCTTACATGTTTCCCATTTTTGTCATATCCTTCTCAAATACATGTTTCCCGACTATAATATCTAGTTACAATTTTCTCAAACCCAACTATTAGTACAGTCAATCCCTAATTAAATGGCCATATTGTTTTAACTCCTTTTTTTTAAGCTATATATGTCTTATTACATTATGTGTAAAGGTAAACAGAATAAAAAAATTAGTCCATAAAAGGCAGGCATTTTTAATGATGCCACCAGAAACAGTGTGTATTGGCAGGCACTTTGTGAAGATGCAACCAGAAATAGTATTTGCGGGTACTTTGTGGAGAACAAATGCAAGTGTTTGTTGACATCCTAAGAGCATGTTAGGGTTGATGCTCATTTCTCTAATATGGCAGCTACTACAAATGAGTGAATGACTTGCAATTTTTTAAACAGTTTAATCACTGCCTGGGTGTAATTAGCTATGTGTATATTGTATATTATGGACAAAAATGTAGTATTGATAGGTAAACAACAAAATATATTCTCTTGTGGGTGTAGTCATGAGTGGTTTTGTAAACATGCAGGTGAGAATCCTGAAGTAAAAAAAACAAACAACTAAGCCATTTTAGTTAGAATAATTATACTACATTTGTCCTCTTCTCTGTTTACATTTTGTAACACTGGCTGTTTGTGTGCCTCAGTGTAATATCAACCTGCAGAATTTGTCTGAACGCAACATAGCAACTGTCTAGGTTGCTGTATCTGTCATGAACAGTGATGAAGGTGGGGGTGGGGGTAATTATTCTCCAGTGTATGTTTTATATGTATCTATATATAATCTATATATAGAGAGACACACACACATACAATTTTTTTTTGAGACTATAGACATAAAGTAAAGCGTCATGAGTGGTCCGTAGCCATTAGCTAGAACATAAAGGTAAACAACTTACATTTTGGGTGTGCATGGTATATAACCCCTACCTCCTAATACCTTGCCTACACCACTGGTCATGAACATTTGTTCAGCAAATAGAAATAGCCTTTGGCTGATTGTTACACAGCTCTTGTGATCTCTAATACATACTCTAAGCAACCATTGTTATTATGAGCACTTTTATGTTGATATTCTGAGTTTACTCCAGAGTCTATTCCATTTACCTGTTGTATTGTAAACATTTTGTACATTGCAAGTCTTTCAGTGTTTTTAAGTCAAGATGTATTTCTATTTCGCCCATTTATTTTTCAAGCAGGAGTTTATTTTCCCTATTTCAAAGTGATATTATTCTTATGTAAAGTACAGTATCTAATTTTAGGAGTGTAAGTTTGGAATAAGAGCTCTTGCTTGAAAAGAAAAAAAAAATTAAATTATCACTATCCTTTTTTTGGGTATTATTTTAAAATTAAGCAAAACCTGTGAACTCCATTACTTTATCATATTTATTGTTATGTTGATCTCTTTAAGTTTGTAGATTCTTTTATTTCAATATGAGCATTAGATGGTTTGAGCACTCTGCCAGTATGCTCAATGGCAAATGTGATCCTACAGAATCTCAACAGCAGTGGAAGAACCTCACACAAGCATGTTTTATCACATGGGGTGTAGATTAGTAGGCCCATTAGAGAGAGTGGAGAATTTGATTCTAAAATATACCCTACTAATGAGTGCTATCAAACTAATTGTCAAATTCCCCCATCAATAAAATTGAAACATATTGTTAGAAACCCCATCACTAAATATTCACTCTGAAAAGTATTGTTGGCATACCATAAAAAGTCATTAATCACTAGTAACGTTGTTTCACACTTGTAACATTAGCAATGAACTTCCTCTGAGTTTATCCTGAACTAGTCATCCTAAGCTAATTATTGTACTCTGTATACTAGTTGTGTACACTTGTCCTACTGATCTATTTACTTCTATTTTCACTGTTGTTTCAGATCATTATAACTCAAATAATTTTTTCTTAAGTAAATGGCATATTATCACATTAGTGTAGTTTTTAATATTGTGTTTATTTATATTATTTACAAAAATGTAAGAAACATGAATGATGATTAGGTTTTGTATAATTGATTACCCCTTTAAGCAGCTGAAGCTGAGGGGGTGGGGTTAAGCTAATTCTTAAGCAACCAGTGGTGTAAAACCTTGGTGCTACACCACTTTGACAACTGGGATAATTCTGTATGGTACTTTTTTACTTAGAAGTCAAATACAAGCGTTAGCTTATTAATGTGGCTGGCTTTACTGAATCTTTCTGTGATCATAGGTTAACCAGTAAAGTACCCTGTGTTGATGTGGTAGCTATTAGGTTGTTCTTAAAATATCCAAGCATCTTATTAGGGTTATCTATGGGTTAAACAGTTAGGTACCCTGTGTTGATGTGGTAGCTATTGCGTTGTTTAAAAAAAATCCAAGCATTATGTTTTGTTAGGGATCATAGGTTAAACAAGAGAGTACCCTGTGTTGATGTGGTAGCTATTGCGTTGTTTAAAAAAAATCCAAGCATTATGTTTTGTTAGGGATCTTAGGTTAAACAAGAGAGTACCCTTTGTTGATGTGGTAGCTATTGGGTTGTTCTTAAAGACTCATGTGTGGTGACTGGAGACATTCCACCTTCCCCAAAAAGTTCACCCAAATTCTTGCCTCATTTTGATACAGCTTTTTCTTTGATCACTTTTATACTATGTGATCTCTGAACTTAATCAGGATTTTATTCTATAATTTTTAAAAACATATTTCTTTACTGTTGATGAAATCTTTGTTATAGATCTATATCAGTTTAAACTTAAACTGAGTTTGTATATATAGTGATGTATGTATTATGCTTGGACTTTCTAGAATTATGGCATAGGTTATAATATTCTACTCAGCTGTGCTGTTCCTAACAATATATTTGTAGTTCCATAGTTATTTGGAGTGAGCCTGCAATTACTGGCATAATTTATATCAGAATAAAGTAGACACATTTATCAATCCTTGCCTTGAGTTTTACTTTATTTACCACTGAAGATAACTGGATTTATGTTGATACATGCATAAGAACTTTGATTCACAAATATTCCTAATTGTCAAATCCAGGAATTATTATGGCTTATAAAGTACCTGATGTGGCATACAAATTCTGCAATTTTTAATTTTCTTTTCTAAATTTACCTATTGCTTTTGCATTTAAAAAAAAGGGACGTTGTAATAATTATTTTGCAATTATTAGTGGTAAGCCAAGAGTAGCCTCCATAACATAATATAATTTACATTTGGCTTATTTACACATGCTTTACATATGTTTATTAAACACACAAAACAACACCACATTTAAAACAGGTAATTTATTTAACATTCTATAAAGTAACATCTTTAAAAATTTGTTCAGTGTTCAAAGAAATGAAATCAACATATTTTTTGTAGAATCTATGTTAACATCTATATACACATTGACATCAACTTAATATATGTATGTATTTTATACACTAATGGAATCATGTAAAACAATTCACCTAGATAGGAGAGAAACAACATAAACATTAAATACACCTTAAAATAATAAACAAAAAATACAATCATCATAATTCTTTTGGAATGGTTCCATTGATGTGATGACCTCTGAACTTCTCTATCATCTCCATCACTTTGATATACCTAGGCGGGGGAGTATTGTTGCCGTTGTGGGGGAAAGATTCCAGGAATGTGATGTAATCCGCCGGGAGACCGTTCTGCTTGGCGCCATCGATGATGACCTTGAGGTAGTATGGGCTGGGCAGCTTGTTACCGTTAGGCTCGAGACACATTTCATAGGTCCGGCACGGGACTGGTTGGCCGTCAACATCAACAGTCACCTCGTAGGCTCGGTAGCCCATTTCCTGTCTTCAAAACAAGTACAACGTGTGAAGACTACGACATAAGACAAGTACTAAGTTTGATGACTACGACATAAAGCAAGTACTAAGTGTGAAGACAACGACATAAAACAAGTACTAAGTGTGAAGACTACGACATAAAGCAAGTACTAAGTGTGAAGACTACGACATAAAGCAAGTACTAATTGTGAAGATTACGACATACAGCAAGTACTAACTGTGAAGACGACGACATAAAGCAAGTACTAAGTGTGAAGACGACGACATAAAGTAAGTACTAAGTGTGAAGACTACGACATAAAGCAAGTACTAAGTGTGAAGACTACGACATAAAGCAAGCACTAAGTGTGAAGACTACGACATAAAACAAGTACTAAGTGTGAAGACTACGACATAAAGTAAGTACTAAGTGTGAAGACTACGAAATAAAACAAGTAATAAGTGTGAAGACGACGACATAAGACAAGTACTAAGTGTGAAGACTACGACATAAAGCAAGTACTAAGTGTGAAGACTACGACATAAAGCAAGTACTAACTGTGAAGACTACGACATAAAGCAAGTACTAAGTGTGAAGACTACGACATAAAACAAGTACTAATTGTGAAAACTACGACATAAAGCAAGTACTAAGTGTGAAGACTACGACATAAAGCAAGTACTAAGTGTTAAGACTACGACATAAAGCAAGTACTAAGTGAGAAGACTACGACATAAAGCAAGTACTAACTGTGAAGACTAAGACATAAAACAAGTACTAATTGTGAAAACTACGACATAAAGCAAGTACTAAGTGTGAAGACTACGACATAAAGCAAGTACTAACTGTGAAGACTACGACATAAAACAAGTACTAATTGTGAAGGCTACGACATAAAGCAAGTAGGGCCTACTAAGTGTGAAGACTACGACATAAAGCAAGTACTAAGTGTTAAGACTGCGACATAAAGCAAGTACTAAGTGTGAAGACTACGACATAAAGCAAGTACTAACTGTGAAGACTACGACATAAAGCAAGTACTAACTGTGAAGACTACGACATAAAGCAAGTACTAACTGTGAAGACTACGACATAAAGCAAGTACTAATTGTGAAGGCTACGACATAAAGCAAGAACTAAGTGTGAAGACTACGACATAAAGCAAGAACTAAGTGTGAAGACTACGACATAAAGCAAGTACTAAGTGTGAAGACTACGACATAAAGCAAGTACTAAGTGTGAAGACTACGACATAATCAAACATTGTAACTCACATCATGTCTTCAACATAAACAAAGAGTGGTATCAAAACTACTACGACTCTTTCAAACATTTTTAGCTCTTTATGTCTTACCATCATACATTGTAGCAATTGTAGGTCTAATGCACACCTACAGAGTTTCTTCCAGGCATCTCTTGGGGGAGGGGGAAGGGGGCTCTGAAGAAAGTGCCGCCACCCTCCCTGCCCCCCGAACCGAATTTATATAGAAAAAATATACTTTTACGAGTGTCCGTCCCCCCCCCCCCCCCCGCCCCCGCGGACCGGAGAAAAGAGAATGGAAGAAACACTGCACACCTCCCTTTGTGTTGATATCAAACATCTATTTAAAAACATTTGAGAAAGTCGTATATAAATTATACAACTCGAACCATGGTCAACACAAATAGACACGTGACCTTAATATATAAACATGTTGAAGTCTACGTGATGTAAAAATGTGACGCAGGTTAGGAAAAATGAAACAACTGTCAGCTTTTGGAATCTTAAAACAAAAAAGTTAAAACATAACAGACGGTATCTAAAAAAAGCAGACTTACTCGTCCAGTGTCTTCAGATGTTCCAAGTCCATATCCCACACCACCCCCCACACAAAGTCGTCCACACTGCCTGGTCGGATGGTGGCTGTAGCGCCCAACCACAAGTCATCACCTACATCTTTTGGGGTGTCAAACGTCAGTATAAAGCCCTACAATAAACAAGGCATGGGTGAGGGGGGGGGGGGGCGGACACAAGTCAAAGTATATATTTACTATATAAACTCCATCTTGTTCGGGGGGGGGGGGGGCGGTAGACCCCCCCCCCCCCCACCCGAAGAGATGCCCGGAAGAAACTCTGGGCCTACAAGATCCGTAAATATGATATACTGATATTTTAAAACACTCGACTAATACAATTTCTCTTACAGATTTAAGTGGGGGATGGGCCATACGTTACGTCATATAGTTTACGTTGATTTATTAAAACCAAGCCTAACAGTAACATAACATCGTCACAAAAGTTAGACTTGTGATGTAGTTTATGGATACTCCCCTCCCCCTGTTAAAGTTAAAAGTCAGCTTTGGCCATTGACCTGATGGATTGTATCGTGATGAAGATGCACTTAAAAAAATCCATTCCCGGTTGGCACTTCTAAAGAAACCACTGATTTGACATTCAAGATAAAATGCCACCATTTGCATGCAATATTTATTCCTCTTCAAGACAACACACTCTATGGTGCTCTCAAATTGATTTCCTCTCTTCCCACCGTCTGTTTTCTGGCATGTTTTCTCATTGAGCCATCCGTGCCCATTCGTGATCAGTGGGGGAGCCCAGTAAAGGCATATTGTGATTCTTTAAACTATAATATAATTCAAGCTTTAAAATACAAAACTGCGGTAGATAATGTGGAATTGAAACAATAGAAAGGCAAATCATGGAGTGGAGATGGAGCAGGCACATGCTAAGGAAAGACGCTGGCAATAGAGCCATACAAGCAGAGTTTCTTTAAAGCATCTCTTTGAGGACATGGCTTTGTGGTGTGCAGGATGAGGCGGAAAGGATAGGAAGGAATTGGGAACAGCTGAAAGTAGTGACAGGATTCGGTGGAGAGTGGAAAGCTTTCAAAGAAGCCCTATGCTACGCTAGGAACGAAAATGAAAAATAATGATGATGCAACATACCATATAATATTATCTATATAATACTATATATATCTATCTTATCAGTCTATCTCTATACTCTATATTATATTCAGCCTGTGTCTATATATATATATATATATATATATATATATATATATATATATATATATATATATATATATATATATATATATATATATATATGTGTGTGTGTGTGTGTGTGTGTGTGTGTTTCTGTCTACAACTTTCATCCGATCGGGATGGTTCTGCAATTTTTTTTAATTCAGAAGGGGCGGCACCCCAGCAGGATATGTTTATGCGCCCCCGGATTTTCCGTGAGCACTATAGATCTAGTGCTTTTGGCGCCTACGTTCGTTTTAAAGGGTACGATGCACTATGGATACAATGGGATAATACAATATTGTTCATTAAATCTGAAACGGTACCCTTATAGTTATCGTATTTACAGACACACAGACGGCTCGGTCAAAATTTGTCCAAGTCTCGGTTTAGATTTTTGCATGATTACAATGCCAACGCCTCTTTTCTTGAACTGCGAAAACTATTAAAATTTCATTTAGTTTTTCTGCATGATTACAATACTTTCTCTACTAAACTCTATACAAGTAAGTAAAAAATATTAACAGTTCATTTAGTAAACAAATTTGTTACCTTTAATTTTCCGATTCCATGAAATGTTGCAGAAGGATTGTTCACCAGTATCCTCTCTCTTAGTAAATTACTCCCATAAGAAAAATACTGAAATTTTGTATCAGCCATTTTTTCCTTTATTCCAAAGAGGCTCCGCCAATGTGACGAAATAAACAGAGAAATATTGTGACCTGAATTCCAGGAATCACTCTTCCTAGATCTAGATCTAGATAATGAATACGCCCACGATCTCAAAGTTTTCACAGCAACCATTCAACTTTTATTGTGTGTTACTGTGTTAGGCTAGAGCAAGGGCAGGGTCGGAGTGATGCAATATTCAATATTCAATGAAGAGGTGTGTCACAAATCAGTGCGCATCGGTCGTCTGTTTACATGTGTAATCAGCAGTCGCTGTGCTGCGCTGCGAAAAAAACGCGGCTAAGGCCTAAGGAATTGCTTTCTAAAAATACCGAAACCATTGCATATTGACAACCCAGACCTGTTATTTCTCTCATCAGTTACATACATATGACATTATGACATTATCATTATGTGATTATTTATTATTTAATAAATTTAATATTATTTTATATATTTAACCAGCTTATTATTTGGATGATATTTAGAATCGACCCTTTGAATCCCGGACAGATCGTCCCCCCGGCGTGGCCTCAGCCAACCGGCGGGCTCGTTGCATTGAGTTAAATATAAACTCAAAACAATAATATAAACAATCTCCTTTCGGTCGGTCAGGCCACATACCACGCACGCATAGTGTTGTGTGTCGTGCCTTAACCAAAATAAACTATCTCCCTTCATTATCATTAGACTTAATTAATTAATTAATTTGCTAATTATAAAATTATGTATGATGCTATAGAAGTAGGTAAGTATAATTTCTTACTATGTATTTGTACTATTAAACATATTATTAAAGAACATCGTTGTTTCAATACCACCCTCTCCCCTTCTTGAACTCAAAGTTAAACTTGTAACCCCGTTTGTAAAGACTAGCGGTATGCTGTAAGGCGGCGGGTGGGTAGGGTATATACTCATTGAAAAAAAATCCACCGTGGTGCGTGTTATTGGCCTTGGGCGACCGTTGTTGGCGCTTGCTGTGAGGGGGAGAGAGGTGTGTGTTATACTCGGTGAAAAAAAAATGCACCGTGGTATTGGCCTATGATGACGTCGGCGCTAGCGGGAAGGGGTGGGGGGGGGGGGGGGGGAGACGTTTTTTTTTTTTTAAACCAAGAACTAGGCGTTTCAAGGCAGTAATGAAAATCAAGGACTGGTATAGTCATGTCGAATTTAACGAGTGATGCTTGCTGGGTCTATCATACGATTGCTTGGCGATGGGAGTCTCATCAAGCTCAGTTTACATTATTAACAGTGAACTATTGGGATGCTGTCATGCACATAGTAACAGCTACCGAATGTAGCACTTAAAACATCGAGTGCATCCCGCTCATTATAAATCTTTGAAATACAAGTTATGGATAGTCCAATAACTACTAATACTTGAAGGACTACCAGAATATATGCATTGTATTATAAAATTAATCCTTACTATATAACTAAAATGTGTATCCAAATATTTTTAGGCTAACGGGATCTGCATTTAAATAAACACAGTCAAATACCTACCCCATTCAGTAGAAATATTAGGCTACTTTTGCATGGTAGCACTACGGCATTTTTTAGATTTCGTAATGAGTAGCCTAGTCGAGCATTAAACTAGAATAAAGGGTTGTACTCAATAGCAATGACGATAATGAAATGCCGGCTTCAAATACCGGCTTCCCCGTATTCGTGGACTACAAATATAGCTCCGTCGTTTAAATGACCCCACCCTCCACCTTTTGCCTAGTTGAATATAATAAAGTTACACTTTCAACCCCGTTAGGATGCGTGAACTACTGAACTATTGAAAAAAAATCTATTCTGGTGTTAAATTCCCCTCCCCTACTCCCAGCATTTAACTTTGGGGCCATACACATCAGGAAGGTCTAGGTCGGCGTTTTATCTCGTGCAAGTTTACTCACAACACGACTACACACTATGGTTCTATCCAGGATTAAAGCTGCGACACTTACTTAGAGTGGGAATTATTCGTTAGATCATTGTGCTTCAAATTCTGTTTCATTTTAGGATTAGAGTGATAGAATGTTGGAATTCAGTTAGTTTGTTAATTAATATATTGATCTAAATGTCGTGTACCGTCAGAAACTAAATTTGTTGGCAAGGCACATGTGTAGGCTAAAGAATGACCTCTAGATCGAGCCAAAGATGGCTGGTTAAGGTTGACATACTGTGGTTTTCAAATTTCATGGTGATGCTTTTCTAACGGATTTTATTTTGTGCTTTCTTTGGGATTATTTTGTGTGATGTGAATATTCAAAAGTAATTTGTAAGTAGTATGCTTTTCACATTCAACCAACTTAACAGTTTGCGGTCGATCTGCGGCCGGGCTGATTAATTTACATTTAGCGAAACTACACACTACACGGCGCCCTAAGGCCGTTGTTTCAGCATGCCCTACTAGATCTAGTCAATTATAGACAACTTTAGAATCAACACATGTAGCCAATACATCGATTTTTATTTAATAATCTTCAAAAGCCATTCCTCTAGGCTAGGGTCGTTATTTTCACGAAATTGTCGTTTTCCAATTTGTTGTCAAGAAACTGGTATTTAGTTCACGAGAACGTACGAAAACCACTCATGCGTGACCGAAATCGTCGATCGGGTGCCTTCACGTGGTTAGACACGTGTTGACATGGGCCTTTGTTTACATCGAAACATAGCTCAAAACGGCCCTTTTTTTAATTAATTCTTCGAAAAAATGGCTATGTCCATTTCTAAAAAGTGTCATTTTCGGACCCATTTTAAAAAACGTAAAAAAATCCGAACTACACGTAGAAAAAATGGCTTTTTCGGCCCTTTTTAGCTCCAAAAACGCCGTGTTTACGGGTCGCGTGACGTCATCGTGACGTCAGCCGCCAACCAAAACGCGTTGAAAGCGCGCGTTTGATTGGTTGGCGGCGGATACTATGAAATATCAAGGGTTTTCTCTAAATTTTCCTATTTACTTTTTTAAAACGTTTTTCTTAACTCAGCTTCGCGTTTGTTTGTTTGGATGTTTGTTGTTAAAATTGACATCGAAAATTAGCCCACTTCTGATTGCTCTAGAGACCTGAAATTTGGCATGCATGCTACTTTCGCCTAACAATTTCATATGCAATCATAAAAACTAGCAATTAGTGACCGTAATTAGCTTAATTTAATTACGCCCCAAGGACCATAAAATTGAGGACATGATTTCTAAAGATACCGACAAGACTGGAGTCCTAATGACACAGTTACTTCGGCCACAATCGATGTGAGCGCGCTGGCCGTGATCGTATAGTTGTTAGTACTTCGCGTTGTGGCCGCGACAACCCAGGTTCGAATCCTGGTCGCTCAAGATTTTTAGTCCGTGTATTTATAAACACTTTTTTAAAAACCACGTTTTTCATGTGTAGCAACGGACTAAAAAGGAGAAAATAAAATACTTAAAAAAAAACTTTTTAAAAAACCACGTTTTTCTTGTGGACTAAAAAGTAGAAAATAACTATTTACATACATTTGATGACAAAAAACGTGGGTCGGGCAGATGGGTCGGGAAATTTGATGGTGAACGTACCCACGTTTTTTGTCATCAAATGTATGTAAATAGTTATTTTCTACTTTTTAGTCCACAAGAAAAACGTGGTTTTTTAAAAAGTTTTTTTTTAAGTATTTTATTAATGATCATTTTTTTTAGTGCTTTGAAACTTCTGGATTTGCAAAAAAAAAAAAAAAAAAAAAAAAAAAGATTGGCCAGGCTGCTTTTGATGTGTGGTTTGACACCCCTTACCGAGTCAGTTTAGGTGATATGGCTGCAGTGTTAAAAAATGTAGATGTACAACATTTGTTAGTGACAGTGACAACAAGACTTATAATGCATTGCCTGTGCTGAGACCATATGATGTAGGTATAATTAAAAACAAATGCACCAACCACGTTTCAAAAGGCCTTGGAACAGCCCTCGGAAACCTACTCTTTGAAGAATCTAAATGTGGTAACTAGCTGGGGGGATTAAAGGCTGGAAGTCTGACACAGGTAATATGATTTGTGAAACTTGTTGAATTCTTCAAATTTAAATTTCTCGGTTAGCATAATCAGTATTTTGTCTAAGTTTCTTATTCAACAGGTGAAAGACATAGTGCAAGAAGTGCAAGCCTGTCAACAGAGGAACTGAGGAGGAAAATTTGGAGTGGCTTTCATCAGGCCTCCTCAACAGATGAAAGGCCTCAACACAAGGCCTGACAGAGAGAACCTCCTGGTAGTTCTGGCAACACGCCATTGCACATAATTCAAGACTTTCATCTCACAAAGACAGGAGTTCATCTTTCATCTCGGAACATTTTGCCTAACAGGTCCAAGATGTTTATAAGCAGTGACCACGGATGCCCTATTAAGCAGGTACAAGATGGGTTCAACTCAAATGAGTTTTCATTAATTTAGTTTATTTTCAATGTAAAATTTTTTGAATTAAAATCAAGTTTTATAGTTGTGATTTAAAATGAGAATTCAAATTATTAAAATATTTACTTAGGCATGATCTGGATTAGTACTAAATATGCCATATTAGATAAGCCAAAGATTCGAGAAATGACATGAGTGTGATCGGCATTATGCCCAGCTGCTTTTTACCCTCCCTTACCCGAGTCAGGTCTTTATCATTAGAGACAAAGAGCCTAGTTTGAGACTTATTGGGCAAGTGATCATGACTCAACCACAACACCCCATATCCTTATTATTTCTTTGGTTAACTTTGAAACCACTTAAAAATAAAGTTTTCATAATCATTAGTACAAGCTGTGCCTTGCAAATTTTACAATTTTTATAGAGGAAATTGCATTTGACGATCATTAGTGATACATTTTAAAATAATCTTCCTTGATTTAGTGTTGTGTACAGAAATTAGTCCAGATCTATTGCCGATAGCTCTGGTAAAAAAAAAACCTTTTAAATACTGCTGTTTTTTTACCCAATATATTACAGAAGAAGAAAAAAAAATGTTCCTTTTTATCTGAGTTTTTGGCAGTATGTATAAGGTTTTGGCTGGCTCTAGCAAACGACCACCTGTTGTACAACTCCAAACTTTTCTAGCAAATTAGCTGAGAGTTGTGTGCAATTAATTGTTCACTGGGCAGAATTTAGTTTAATAGTTGATATTTATTGATATGTTTATATGGATGTTTATGTGTTCACTAGTTTTTTTTAAAAGTCAGTAAAAGAAACAGCATAACGAAGAAAGCTTTAAATTAAGCACATGATGCACATTACTTTAAGGACATTTATTAAATTAAACAGCGATTGCAACAAGTACATTTTATAAAAACAATAAAATATTTTAAAAAGTTAAAAAGAAATTACAATAACTTTTATGTAATGACATATCACAAACAGGAACTTAATTATTTGCTCTTTAAACCTTTAACTATCTTTAACATAAACTGATAACAACCTTTTAATTAAAATGAAATTAATACTCAAGAAAAACTATTAAAATGATACCACATGTATAACTAGTTGTAATACTTAAAAATTTGAAACTATTTTGAAGTGTGCAAGTTTAATAGAAAAGCCATACCTATTTTTAAAATCTACATATGCTTGGCTATGATCCTTCAAAAGACTAATAAAATAATGTATCTATTTCTTTTAGTTGGCAAGTGGAGGGTGTTTGATCCCATTTTTTCTTGGTTGTGTCCCTTGTACATCTTCAAGAATGTCATCATCATCATCTTCTGGTAGATGACTTGGAGGTAAAGGAGCTTGGTCTATACTCGGCAGCCTACCTGCCTTCAGTCCAGGGAGAGATGCAGGTTTCTCAGCACCTGTTGAACATCAAACAATGTGATTTCATTGGAAGAAACAGAATTTCTGAAAAGAAATATCATGTATATTTCCATATTTTTTCTATTTTAATTAATGTACACAATTTTACAAGAGACATTCAAATAAATTAATTTGCCATCTAAAATGCAGTGGGGACTTAATTTCATGATTTATATGGAAAATACATTTATATGCTTATGCATAATGAAAAAAAAACTTACATTTAAAATCTTGTTGAATAGGACCACTATTTAACACATTAAAATTACATAGAGATCTAGGAAAACATTTGTATCTTTGCTAAGCATTAATTTTTAAATAACTGTATAATAACATTGATAAACTTTTTTCCCATAAATAACTCCTTAATTTTTTTTAAAACCATATTTTTAATATTCACCTAAGGGAGGTAGCTTTGAATCAGTAAAGTCTAAGGGAGATGATAATGGTCTGCCATTTATAGTATTGATGCCAGAGCTGGATAAATTAGTTAAAGATGATTCACTCATAACATCTGGTTCTTCATCCAGTGGTAACGTGTGATGCATGCCAGGAGATATCTGCTCCAGCTTTTCTTGTTTTGATTGAGCTAGTAAATCACATATTTTCAAAACTTTGATTAAATATTTTTTATAGGGGTAGAGGAATGTATTCATGATGCAGAGATACAACTTTAATTCTCTTTTATAATATTAACATTTGTTAGAGCTGGAAAATCACAGAATTTAATAATTTCAATCTTTAACATTTATTTAAATCAAATATTGGAACTAGGATTGTCAACCTGCAGCTCTTAAACACACCAGTGCTTAAATAGTTTTAAGCAATTCTTTTTAACTAAAGTGTAAAACCTAAATGATGATATAATTAGAAAATAAAAGAAGTAACATATACAATGATTCTAAATTCAAAAAAGGTTGCCCAAAGAGGTAGTGTCAGGATAACTAGTCATTATAGTATAGTAGTATTACTCTGTGTTATTTTTGTAAGTTAGCAATTTTCTATCTTAGGTTTATGTGGACAAAAGCAGCGGAGAGTTGTGATTTCTTTTTAGAGCTGGCATTTTATTTGGATCTAATTATTCGGCAAAATATAGCCAGTTACTAATAACATTTTTCCTACCAGGGTTGAAAGTTTTATAATTAATAAATTAAAAAACAAAACATTTTATTTTTTCAATCAGGTAAAGTTTTAAATAATGTAACAGCATCTACACAAATAGAAAAATGACTAACATGGATTGTGTTTAGGTTTGTTGACCACGCTGTAAATGTTATCACCTCCTGAAGCTTCACTTAACCCAGTGTCCTCCTTTACTTTACCGATGTGGATGGCTGGTCCTAACTTAGATGCCAACTCAATCAGCTACAGGTGAAGATAAAAAATACCTTTTCATTACATCCAGGTTTTAGGAGAGTGATGTCAGAAAATGTAAACATCATTTTTTAAAATTTACACATTTATTAGGAACACAACTGATTTTTCAAATCAGTCATACAAAAATGGCTTTGGTTACTCTGCATAGTACTAATAATTCTAAGAAGGTGGATACCAATTTTATGTCAGAAAGAAGAGAAAAAGTAAAAAAAAACAACAGAAACCTCATTTTTTGGCAGTTTGGAGTACCTACATTAATATATGTTCTGATAAAACATTTCTGCATGAATCTTACCAATAAATAATATTAATAGATTTTTCTTGGAGGTAATTTACAAAAAACCCACAAGGGCAATTAATTACCTCAGGATCTGTTTCTTTACCAGAGCTTCTATTCAGAGTAACAAGAGCATCAAACTGTGTCAGTAAATGACTAGCTTTTCGTCTGTCTCCCTTGTTAAATAGTAAAACTGCATAATTCACCAGTATAGCTGGGTCTTTACTGTAAATGGTGTGAAATATTTATGTTCATTTTTAATTTATGTTAGTTCCAGTATGTGTTCAGATTTCATATTGTAGTGCTAAACTTAGCACCAGAAATAAAAAAAAAAACCTTCAGTGAATAACATCCATGAAAAAATATAGTTTTTTCTTTAATTGTTACTGGAAATTTATATCTAATAAAATTTAACCGTAACCCTAAAAATCTAATACCTTGTTTTTGACTTATTGTTCACTTTTTTTTAAAGTAACTGAGAACTTACTCATCAATTTTAAGAGCATGTTCATAAGCTTGTGTTGCATCTTCTGCATCATCCAGATGAGTCAAAGATACTGCAGATAAATAATTAAACAGACTATATTTTGACAGCAGTATTTCTAATAATTTTTCTTGGTTATCTAAATATTCCCACAAAATTAACAGACCTCAGCATAGATAAGAAACACCATATGGGGGTATATTATTAGTATTTGACTTTTTATACAAAATTGCTTAATTAAAAAAAAACAAGTCAATTGTTAGCAATATTAAGGGCTGTGCCTTTTATAAAATCAATTTCAAATATATTTAATAAAAGGTAGCGATTTCTTGTGGCTCAAAATTATTGTTCAATGAGTAAATAAATTAATATAATAGTTATTAAAAAAAATGGAACAGTTATATGACTATAATGGGATGCAAAATTTATCCAGGAAAAGTTTTTTTAAAGAAATATTTTTTTAGTATGTAAACAAATATAAAAAATTTGACCCCCTCCCATAACCTTCCAGCCGTTTCTTGCAAAACTCACCAGCTAAAAGCATGTATAGCTGAGCTAGGTCAGGCTTGAGGTTTATTGCAGCAGAAATGAAATGGAAGGAAGAAGCGTACTGCTGCATGGTGAGGTGAACTAAGCCCAGGTTGTACAAAATCTTCCAGTCAAACGGTGACAAATAGTTTGCTCTCTTTAGACAGCTGATGGCCTGTCAAAAACAAACCGACATTGTTAATCAATGCATCCTAAATTCAGACTTTAGTTACTTTCTATATTCTTACTTTAGTTACTTGAACCCTTTACTGTCCTATATGTCCAAATTTGCCTGAGATTTTTCTAAGTGGTAGTGTCCAATGCACCTGTTTTCACCTGAATTACTTATACTTATAGTACATTTATTTGCGCCAGTAACAGAATGTTGGTAACAAGATTTTGAAGATACCAGCATAAACAAGAAATAATAAGTTTATTTTTCACTTCTTTATTGTTTTTCTAACATTAGCAGTTCCTTTTCTAATTTTTTTTTAAAGTTTAGAATTTTGTTTCTCTAAATTATTGTTAATATAATTAGTAAAATTAAAACAAACTAAAATGCCTCTGCTATTGATTTGGTGTTTATTTCTGGCGTAACTCTCAAGCACATTGCTGTGGGCTGGCACAATATTTTAAAAGGATTTCATCAATGCTTTACCAAAGGTGCATTTTAGATGTGCGACCTTGTTTGCTAAAACTGAGTTATTTAAATGTGGGGTACTCTTTAAAACAAATGTAGGAGTATTCTCAATAACATCCCAAAGTTTCATGGTGATTGGATAAAAGGTGTATTAATCCATTTAGGACAAATCCACAAAGATACTTTCATTTTTGTATATAAAGATGTAACTAATACAGTGTTATTGAAAAAGAAAGTAGTTCCAGTGACTAAGTTGAATATATTTTTAGCCTACAAAATAATTCTTTTATTTAAATATCATTGGAAGTTGCATTTAGTTGACAATTTTTGGGATTTAAATTAATTTTTTTTACCTTTAGTAAAAAATAAAGCCATATAAAAAAATTTAAAACCATTTTCCTGTATGATGATCTTTGTTTTTGTTTATACGATATGTGGATATTTTAAAATGATTGTTTTAAAAAGTGTTAAAAATGCTTAGGTCTTTTTGCCTAGCTGTATGGGAAGTAAAATAGTTTAAAAATTCCTATATGGTTATAAAACCTTTTTTTGCATTGCTAGTAATGCAAACAAAACACTGCCCCTAATATTTGAAAAGAAATTTTGACATCCCCCTCTACATCAATATTTACACTTCATAGGTCACACAAAAGATATGAAGCTATAAAGTCTCTCTTACTGCTACATATTTCTTCTTTCCAAAGAAACACATTCCAATATTGTTCCATAGGGGTGGGGACTCAGGAATATTAGCAGCGGCTATTCTATATTTTGTGATAGCCACATCATAGTCAGCGTGGTTCTGCATCATGCTGCCAGCTGCCATTATAGCTTTGATGTGACTAGGGTCAAAGGTCATGGCATTTCCAAGGTTCTCAAAAGCTTTCTGGAACTGATTAATCTGTTGATCAAAGTATTTAAAAAAATATAATTTAAAATGTATAAAATAAATTGCATATAAAAATATTATAATAATTTATAAGTGTAAAGAAATTGTAAAACAAATTATTATAATCGAATTGATGAAGTATAAGAGCTTTTCTATTGTTTAGTATGAATAATAGTGTGGTTCACCTGCATATATAGAAGTCCAAGTGTTGTTAGAAGGTCTGGGTTTTCTGGGGAGTACCTGCGATCATAAAGGAGTGAAGAAAAATTACTACGCTGAGTTTAATTTGAGAAATTGTCTTAACTTAAAAGTGGCAGATTAAATAATGTTGTTTAATATCAGTGATAATGAAGAACAAAAAAAATTCAATATTTTAAGGCTTTGATCTCTGGATAAAAAAAGAACAGCCAGACACAGCATCCATTTTAATGTTAGGCTATATGGAATATGACACTAAAACCATAACTATAGAAATTATGAATTTTGATGTGCCTATTATAAGGTGGTTCAAACGTTTTAAAGGAACCAGAGATGGAGAATCTATATTACAGCTTTTAAATCTGTAAAAAACTTAACTTTCCAACCAAGCAGCAATTATAAAAAAGTAGAGAACTAAAGTCGTACCCAACATCCTTCCTATTGGGATATGGAAAAGAATTGAATAAACGAACAAAGTAGCAGCTTACTCAACAGCACTCCTGTAAGTGTCTATAGCAGCATTGATGTCCCTCTCCAACAGGTAGATTTTACCTAACATGACATAGGTCACTTCATGGCGACGTAGACTCAATGCCTGCTTTAGACAATCTTTAGCCTGGAATTGGAAATAAAGAAACTGTCAGTGTTTTTAAGCTAACAGTCCCAATTCATTAATATAATTAAGAAATTACCTTTTCTATCAATAAGGCAGATGGAGTAGAGTTCACCTGTTTCAGTGATCTTAGCATAGTAAGAGACTGGTAAGTTCAATGTCTTTACTTTCCAGAACATGAACCAAGTACCCATCAGTGCTGGGTGAAATCAGGGACATCCTATGGACTTGAGCCCAGGATTCAAACTCTAGACTTATAGATTAGTAGTAATTTACTCTACCATCTGACCTTGCTGTCCCATAATTAACATTAATATGAGCTAATTTTTTACAGGTTGCATAAAAAAGAATGTACAAACCTTTGTATATTCTCTCAGATACATATAACAAACACCCAAGTTGTGGTAAATTTCCTAGAAAAACAACAAACATAAAACAGCAATACCCAACATGGGAAAGATATAAAAGATGAAAATGAAATCGTGTTTTATTGTATGATTAGTATGTAGTTAGTAATTTAATAACATGACCTGTGACTTGATGTTGCTCGAAGTAAATCTCATCAAAGTTATATAGAGAACATATAGTACATTTATTTGTCAACCCACAGAATTAGCATTTTTCTGTTTCCTATTTTTTTACAATTAGACACATTTCTTAGTCAATTTGTTTCACATATGTTAAATCTTCATTATTGCTGGCCATGTCTTTCCACATCCTTAATTTATTTGAGACTGATGTTCTCCCAGTTAGTTTTACCAAGTTCCTGTGGTTTCTATTCTAAAAACAACTCATCCAATGATGTTAGCCAGTGGTTTTTAAAAGAGTGTTCAGTTTCATATGACTTTTACAATACTTAAACAGAAATGAACCTCATCTGAATATCTTCAACTTACTTGTATTATAATAGTTGACCTATAAGTTCAATGTACTAAAATATAAATTCAAGATATATTATAATAAAAGTGCAGACTATATTTACATTTCAGTTTAAGGCCTCAGTCAGTGTAACTTTAATTTGATACCTCACTTCAAAGATTATAAAATATAAACTCACCCAATCTTTTTCACTTATAGTTGCAGCCTGATTGTATACATCAATAGCAGCTTTATGTCTAGCAAGTAAAAACCTATACAAATGGAGTTTAAAATATGAAACACAAATTTGAATTTAATTTTAAAATGCTCCCACTGGAAGACATTTTTAGCTGAAACACTTTTTTCTGCACTGCAAGTATTATTTTTGATTCATTTAACCATATATTTGTTTTTAAACTTAACTTGATTTTGACATCTATGAAATTTTAAAGCATTCAATTATTTTTGTACTGACTATGCTTTTATATTTAGCATTATTACAGTAAGGTTATACAAATTAAAAGAGAAACGTGTTCTGCCACTTACAGTGACCTAGCAACTTGTTTGAGATTTTCTGGGTTCTGCATGTTTATAGCTGTACAAGTTTGGAAAATGTCAAGTGACTCTTGGATCTTTCCTTCTTGTCTCATTATCAAAGCTGCAAAGATTATTAAACAAAATTGAAAAGTGCAGACAGTTATCAATACTGGTAATTTTGTTGTTAAACACAAGATTTCAAGAATAAGAATAAACGGCAAGTAGGAAAAAAACCATTTAAAATAATCACCTTGAACATATAAAGCATATTCACACATGCCTCCAGTGTCTGCTAGTTGCTCACGTATCAATGCTTTGCATGTATCAAATTCCTTTCTTACATAATGAAGATGTATTAGCCAGTTGCGTCTTTCAAATGTAGGAATTTCAGGCGCTTCAGAAAAAAAGAAGTACATAATGGTTGTCATCTAAAAATAATGTAGAATAACTTTACAACCATCGAGACGATTTAAAATATTTTGTTAACTAAACCAGTTATTTTTCACAACTCTGTTAAAAATTTGACAATTTTTTTTTTCAGTGAGTGATTTTCTTTATCTAGTCTAAATTATATAGACAGGATATATAATACACTGAAAGCTGTATCAATATAAAGCTCATTGGACTTCTTACTGACTTACAATGTGTTGTTTGCAATTGTTAAGTGGTAGCAGATATGAGTGTAGGCTGTTAATTGATAAGAGTCAACTAAAGTCTGCAATAGAATTAGCTCAACAGCCTACAATAATGTAAAAAATAGTCAAATTATACACATTATCAGAATAACTGTAACTGTCATACCTTTCTTAGGCTTTGGCTTTGCTGGTTGAGATGTTTGAATAGGTACTTTTTTCTCAGTTTGATCTGCATCTTGTTTCTTAGAAAAAGAGAGAAAATGATTTTTGCTGGTTTTATAGATTATAGCCTTTGTAAAGTAATACTTTTACTCTGCATAAGACATAAAAAAAATTGATAATATTAATAATGTCCTTGTAAAGTACCAGTAACTTGAAGTATTATAATAAGTGTTTCTGTTAGTGTAAAGGTTACGGGTAAATAATGTGAAAGTTAGAGCTGTTTTTAAGTCTAAGTTAGAACACAGGTTAAGTAGCGTATAGTTTATGTAGGTTATAAAAATATCCTAATATATAAAGCCCACATGCATACTTCTCTCTTTCTCTCTCTGTCAGCAAAATATTTTTCAAGGCTATGAGATCAGTATCTTCAGCGACATATGAATGATTTAATGATACGGACTTTTGTTGAAAATAATATGTTGGATGAATTAAATGTATAAACTAATTTTTATTTTAAAGAAGTAGAAAATAAAATAAATGTATTTGAATGAAGAAACATATGTTAATTATGCAACTAGAAAAGTTTTTTTGGTTTGACAAGAAAAGATACAAGTAACACAAAAACAATGACTTCATATGTCACATGTTTAAACAACGGAAAGTACACAACACTTATGTCATCATTGATTTTAGGATAAAAATAGAAAAGTTGAAAATAAGCAAAAGTAATAAAACATAATATAGTAAAATTTAAATTCAATAAAGTTTAGCATTTAGAGTGTAATAAATAAGTGAAGAGCTTAGCATTAACAGTAAGTAAATGCATTAACAGAGAGCAGCTCCTCCGCTCTACACTACGTCTACACCTTCAGTAGCATCTTCTGTAAGCTCGAGCTGGCTGATTTTCATTATTCTTTAATGTATTATTAATACTAATAGTTTCGCTGTCTGTGTATCTATCTGTGTATGTATCTATCTGACAAGAACGCTCTAGAGAAAACACAAGCAAATTAAAAACATGCATAGTAATTCGAAAAACGAAGTATGACGTCGTCACATTTAGCATAGAGTAGAAAATAATCTCAAGCCGGAGAGTGCACACAGTAATATGACGTCATTGATTCTCGAGTAAACATTGAATAAAAAGGCAATTTTGTCTAATCTAAATGGTTTGCTGTGAAGAGTTTCTTGCATACAATTCTTCAGGTAGGGGCGAAGCCCCATCCCCGCTTAAGAACGTCTGAGCCCCCCCTCCCCAACTCAAAAGAAATTTCTTCATCGATACTCTATAATAAAATTACCGCCTAATTAATGTGTCTAATCTAAAAAGTGGTTTTCTTGCAATTTCTTTAATGCAATTCTTCAGGTAGTGGCTAAGCGCGACACCAGTGTTTCTTTCAGACTTTTTCCTCCCGGAGAGGGGTGGGGGTACTTGAAATTTTCGGGGGCGGGGGTAGAATTTTCTGGGAGGGGGCGGACACTGGAAAAAGTATATAATTATATTTAGTTGAATGGGACGGTAGACATGTTTTGGAGTGTGTGTGTAGTTGGGGGGGGGGGGGGGGGGGGAGGGGGGGGGGCGAAGCCCCCTCCTCCCAAGTAGAGTTGCCTGAAAGAAACGATAAATGCGACTTTTGTCATGAATGAGATTAGGTGCATGGTTTAGGGATATGCCTATGACTATATTTTGTATAAATTAAAGCGCCCGTTGTATCCTTCCTCAACAGGCCATTTTTCTCGTTAAACAATATTTGTCTTGTATAAATACACTTTTCTTATTAAAAACACTTAACAAAAAAACTGGGGCGGCATTTGGGGGATCTAATGCATTAAAGGCATTTCAATTAATTTTAGTGGAGAAAATTGCTTTAAGATATGGCAATTTGACATACGAGAAATATTATGGAAAGGGGTCATCCATAAATGACGTCACGCTTTTTTGACGATTTTTCCCCCCCCCCACCTCCGTCACACGTCGTCACAAAAAGCCAGACCCCCCCCCCCTAAAATGACGTCACACCTCAGCCTACAACCCTCCTCAAAATTGCAGTTGAATTTTTTTTTAAACATCGATATTTTCCCCAAATCTTGACTGAACTCTGTCAAAATAGAGTATTTTAATCAAGTCCTATTACAATTTATTAAAACAGTTTTCTAAAACGCAAAATAACATCTAAAATTTGTTTTCTAACATTGCATTTTGATAATATAAAAGTGTGACGTCGCACCATCTGACCCCCCCCCCCACATCACACACTGTCACAAAATTATGGACCCCCCCTACAAGTGTGACGTCATTTATGGATGACCCCAAAGAACTGAACTCGTATCTTGAGGTACCACTGTATACATTTTAACTTGATAAAGTTTGAACTTTGATTAAGGTCACATAAGTAAGTAGCGGGGCTACTTTGTGAAATATTTAGAATATTAGTAGAGAGGTTTCGTAGTCATTATGATTATTAGTTTCAGCCTACATACTACATACTGTATTGTTTTTAAAATCATTTTGAAAATTATTAGGAAGTATCTACATTATAACATTAAACCGCCACTCATCTTAATCATGATCTTAAGACTTATGGCCCTTATTTTATTTATTGTATTCAATATATTGTTAAGAGTTAAGTTAAGAGTAGGCCAAACTATGTGACTTTAAGAAGAGAGAATGCTTTTTTTTAAGTAATGAAGCATCAGATCCAGCTCAGTAATTAGTCTACTTAGTAATGTAATAATAATAAACAATTAGTAGGCCTAATGAATTGTTTTTAAAATTGTGATGAGTGTCACTACACTTACTAACTTCATCTAGATCTAGAATCTAGCTTTTTAGTCTTCTTGTTCTTAATCAGTGACTGAGTGAGTGACTGAGACTCAGAATTGACTTGGTTTTACTTTTATTGTGGTGAAAACTAATGAGCAGTCATATCAGGTAATAAAATAACATTCGAAATAGTTTTTGTAATGTAAAATATGTATGATAAATCATGTGCGATTTAAAATATTATAGAGTTTTAGACAATATGAGAGTGATTCTTATTTTATTTAACTACCTGTATTACCGAGTCTGCCATTGTGAAACTATTTACGTTAATATGGTAAATAATGGATTGGAGTTTAATTTTGAATAACTATCAAAACGCTGATAATCTTTTTAAATATTATTTAAAATAACTGTTTAATGTGTAAAATAGCTCTATAATTAAAAAAAATATTTATATTTCAAATAAAATATACATAGATTTACTATACTAAATTTCAATGCTACGCTACTAAGAAAACTTAATTCGCACGGGCATCGACCAGCCTCCGCAACCCTCTAGATGGCGCTGATCCAAGTTTTTATCTGCAGGATGATGAGGAACTGCTCAGTAATCATTCGGTGGTTTTTCAGAACATTGCCATTTCTTCAGAGTGGAACCAACATTTATCAATATATTTACACTTGATTTTGTGATTACAGAAAACGTTTACGGATATAAAACATTAATATTTATTTTTAAAATGGATATTGAGGTAAGTTAAAAAATTTGTTTCGTTTCTTTTACAGCCCTACAATACCCTCCTCACAACATAAAAATAATCCAAAATAAGTGGCAAAAAAATAAATATTTGCGATATTTATTTTTTCACATTCAATTTCGTTAAAATATAATACGTGAATAAATGAAGTGGGTTATTAATAAATAATTTTTAAAAAATTATTATTTATGGCTTTCTTATAAATAGTTTTCTCTGCATATTTATGGTTTTCTCATAGTTTTCTCTGCATATTTATTTAATGATAGTTTTCTCTGCATACTTATGTAATAATAAACAGTTTTCTCTGCATATTTGTGTAATAATAATAGGTCTTTATATAGACTCAAGGTCTAGATTAAATTTAGTATTTTGCGATAACAATAGTTATTCAGCATATTAAAGTTTTCATAAAGGTACTATCACACCGGTAACGTAACTAAGTATGTATAGTGCCCTTTGCGACTAAACATGTCTCAACCTATCATACAAGTGAGCTTAAAATCTTCGAAGTTTTAAAGCGAGTTTATAGAACTACTTTATACAAAGATATACAGTGTATCAGGGACGGCGTGGTCGGATGATAAAGCTTTACCACTGCTAACCCGATGCGACTATATAAGGAGTCCCTGAATCTACTCAGCTGTAATGGGTACCTGGGTCACTTTGGAGAAAATAAGGTCATTGAAGCTCTACTTCATCTGATCTATGTGTCTTGGGCACAAAAAGAGTGAGTCAATAATACAGTGTACGCCAGCCAGCCTATAAACATCTTATAAAGAATTTTTGTAAATAATTCGATGACCACCGACTCCTCCACTGATGTAAAGGATCATTTTGCAACAATATAAAGCCCAATATCAAACTTGTTTTTGTTGTCATGCTGGTTAGGACATCTTCCATTAAGCCACATAACGGTTTGTTTAATTAAAAAAAACGCAATTTATTTATTGGACAATCTATTTTATTGTGCATCGTAAAGCAGACCCCTGCATAATTTTTACCTGGGTTATCTACGTGAATTGATAAGCATTGTATCCCGGTAATTGAGACAAATTGCTAATCGACCGACGAGCAAATAGTTTTACACAGCGTCGATCAACAGTCCATCGTTTGAAGCTGCGCGACATTTCTCCATTTCTATAGAAACACCCCCTATCAACACACACCAATTTAAGCGTCAATCAACCGGCATGCATGAAAACAAAAGCACCCCCACCACTCTCCCCTCCCCCGACTGTTTACCTCGGGATAATTAATAAGTCATGAATATTTGTTAGCGGTGCTAACACTAAGGAAAAAAAAATCGATGGAAACGTACTGGAGTAATCTCAACATAAAGACTCTCGCTGGTGACGTCTTGACATCAAAGGCATGATGGGTAGAGAATTGCACCAGCCACCCCCACCCCAGCCCGTTATGTAGGTCATATCTTTGTGTGACGAATTATTTTAACTTTTTTTTTTCAAATTGGTTGTTCAGAAAAGAGGAGGTGAGTCGAGTCGGAGAGGAGTAGTAGGATGCTGCACATCTTATACAACACGACAATATGACGTCTTCAACACATCATATAGACGTTTAACGTTATAATCAATACCCTTATAAGACCCCTTCAATCTTTGCGAACTCCATAATACTTTGGCGATACAAAAATATCTGATATTTATAAGATAGCATAATTTTATTTCAGATTAACGTACATGTTGCTTCTGTATTTGAAACAGTGGTAAAGTTTTTATTGAGTTCGAAACCTTTTAAACTCATCTAAAGCTTGCAACAAAATTACAAAACCACCTACAGATTTGTGCACCACTAACCTATAGGTTATCGCTAAATGTCGACAGACACCCCGTCTATGTTTTAACTAATTAATTTCAACCACAATTGCTTTAAATTTATTTATTTAAAAAACAACAACAACGCGCCTTCACTTATATAAAGTATACGGTGATAACAATATACCACATGATGCAGGAGTTGACTTATTCTCTTCACAGTGTGTTTACTCAAGCATCACAATTCTTTTATCGTAAAGCTTTCGTTTTTCTTTTTACCTCTATGTGAACGCTTTACCAGAGCCCAATATTCTGATAATATTTTAGCTCTCGTGCAGAACTGTTGTAATTTTTATGCAGTAGCGAGTTGATTAATTTTTGCAATGCAGCCTTTTAGAACCGAATGCAAAGAGACGTTTACATTATTTTTGTACTGTTTGAACTGTAGAGTATAACACTGTTAGACGCAGAAACCTTTTAACTAGGAACTAGCTACTAAGACCGTGTTCTAGTCGAAAGGCAAGCCGTTAGATTAATTTTAGGCATGTCGTGAAGTAGAATACATGGACAAAATGTCGCTTATTCAACAAGAATTGTAAGCTTTTCCATACGTGTCAAATGTCGTGTCATAAATCTCGTGACGCCTGCTCGAGTTTGTTATTATTATTTCTAAACACTCAGCTGCTCTACACAGCTTGAAATCAGTACCCAGCACCAGCTTCTAGAAAAAAAATGACGACTGGGCTTAATTACATTGGCCTAAATATGGTTCAGCATTCTGTCGGCAAATATTTTAAATGGCACTCTTGATAGCCGGCTAAATTTTGTTGTATGTAGGCAGCACAATGTTGTGTATGCCGGTTAAACTTTGTTGTATGTTGATGAAACATATGTTGTAAGATAATTACAGCTGAAGTTCAAAGTGTGACGACATAGATCCCACATTAGGAAGTATGACAGAAGAGGACAGAGAATGGCTGGGGATGATAGAGACTGACTGAGAATTGTCAAGCACGTCAGAAAGGCTGGAGAACAACAGAGTACGGCATAGTTTGACCCTTTGAATACGGTCTTATTATAGCACGCCATTTAAACGGAAATAATATTAATTGTTCCAGAAGGTTCTACTCACTCGAGGACCTCACCAGTCCCTTGGGAACCCCACCCCTCCCCCGACGCGTTTATGGTTGTCATGACAACAGCGGGTGCCTTGAACTATATTCACCCTACCGCACCCTACTGCTCGTACAAGTCCGCCATCGTTGTAGAATTGACATGGTGAAATGTTCGATCAACTTTCGATTTAAAAGTGAACTTTTATCGATTGGATTATTTTTTTTTTAAAACCCAGAGCCCCAAAGCTTATATGTACCCAGCTCGCCATTAAATGTCTTGTTAAGTGCCCTGTGGGGGATCGTGGTCAACTCCAGGGCGGTCCCTTCCGGTCTGCCTCGTTTGAAGTGTCCGTGGATTTCATTAGTTAGCGGCCAATGGGATTACAGGAAAATTGTGTTATAAAGATAACATGGGGGGGGGGGGGGGGGAGCCGCTGGTGATTACATCATTAACGGTAACTTTATTTATGGTACATCTTCTGATGCTAAAGTTACTGGAATTTCAAACAGAGAATACAGTTTTAGATGGTACCAAGTGACGTCACTAGATCGGGTATCACTTGGTGCGGTAACTGAGGGTGTCACCCGGTGCGGTAACCGAGGGCGCCGCCCCACCGCTTCCAATAATTTCGCATTTTCGGTTTGGTGTCAACCCTCCACTCTACTATTTTATTAAATTGAAATGGATAAAACATTATTATTGACAGTAAATTTTGCGACTTTTCAATTTGGTGTCAACCCCTAAATAGTGTCAACCTGTTTGGACCCCCCCACCCCCGCTTTCTGACGCTACAGATTTTCCCGAGCCGATGCTGAATTAGCGGGCAGGGGCGGATAACGTATGGTAAAACTTGACTCAGGCCCCTGGCTAGAAATAGATCGGTGATTTTTTACTTTGGTCACGATATCTTGAACCGCCACTTATTGTTGGCACCAAACCAATGTTAAAACTCCTTAAGTTGCCGACCGATGATATTTCGTCATGGCATCGCTAAAAGGACTAAAAGTTTTCTAACGAAGTCTGTATTTACTATCAGATTTGAGGGGTTTAGTGGAGCGGGGATTCACATCTTAGACCGTTGAACACGTGACTTTATCCAAGACTTACAGACACGTTTTGTTTACCAAAACTTTGCCATCGATCCCCAATAGTGGGCCCATCTAAACACCATTCTTGTCCGCTAGAGTTGTGTTTGTTATCTGCTTAATGGCTCCCCTCTGCTGGTTGGTTTAACGGCTCCCTGCCGCCACAATGTTTAACGCCCCCTCCCCCTTCCACTGTTTAACGAACCCCACACCCCCATACTATTTAACTACTCCCCTCCCATGTTGTCCTGTTTAACAGCTCACGTCCTGTACTGGCCTATCTAACCGCTCCCCAAACATGCTGTATTAACCACTCCCCCCCCCCATGCCTGGTGCGGTAGAGAATTGAGACAGGAGGCGGAGAGGGTCGTATCGCAACTTGACATTTAAAACTGACGTAAGGGTCCGGCCTTTTTAATTTGTCCGTTATCTTTTTATCTGCGAGGCATTGGGCGGCACGGGTAAGATAGGAGCGTCCATAGAGGGTTGATATTATGGGATACTGCCCTGTTTACTTGTGGGCTGGGTAAACACTGCCCTGTTTACTTGTGGGCTGGGTAAACACTGCCCTGTTTACTTGTGGGCTGGGTAAACACTGCCCTGTTTACTTGTGGGCTGGGTAAACACTGCCCTGTTTACTTGTGGGCTGGGTAAACACTGCCCTGTTTACTTGTGGGCTGGGTAATGCCCTGTTTACTTGTGGGCTGGGTAAACACTGCCCTGTTTACTTGTGGGCTGGGTAAACACTGCCCTGTTTACTTGTGGGCTGGGTAAACACTGCCCTGTTTACTTGTGGGCTGGGTAATGCCCTGTTTACATGTGGGCAGGGTAATGCCCTGTTTACTTGTGGGCAGGGTAATGCCCTGTTTACTTGTGGGCTTGGTAAACACTGCCCTGTTTACCTTGGGCTGGTTAAACACTGCCCTGTTTACCTGTGGGCTGAATACAATAAACACTGCCCTGTTTACCTGTTGGCTAAATGCAATAAACACTGCCCTGTTTACCTGTTGGCTGAATGCAA